ATCCTTGAGAGGCTTGCTAGGCCGAAAACTCGGAAGGGCGACCTAGGCAAAAGTTAGAGTACAAAAAATTCGAAATAAGAAAAACTGAGCTTGCAAGGTTGAAAACCCTAAAGGGTGGCCTTGGCAAAAGTTCGAGCATAAAAGGAGAGTGTTAATACCCGAGTGAATCAGAACCGAACTACGTAAAGCCTGATTTCCATTTCTGGGATATGTAGGCAACTTCATTCTGAAGTCCGATTGTAAACACTTCTAAATCAACTGTCTTGTTGATGTGATTGATCAGGTCATCTTCGTCTTTTGTGCATCCAAGAGAGTTCGGTTGTGATCTTCATTATGAGAACTGGTTGTAGTGCAGTGCAGTGCTATTCAGACAAGTGGCAATTTTCCATTTCTAGATTTGGGGTTTGTACATCTCGAGGATATATTCCACGTGTGTCAAGTTGTGATCCTTATCGAAAATGGTTTTGAAAAGTTTTAATAAAAATTAATTTTGTTCAAATTAATCTTTTTACAACTTAGACCATTTTCGGACCAAAAGGAAAATTTTCAGTACCTACAACCTCAATTTCATTGATTTCAATACAAAATTCTTCAACTCTCAATACACATCAAAGTTTCTTTTATTGCATTCAAATGAAAACTTGAAAACTAAGATCAAAGAAATAAACTTGGGGCATAGATGAGTCAGGTGTTCCTGCGTCCCCTCCCTGAGCTCGTGGAAGCTTCCGATGCTAAACAAAGCCTAGTTTGTGCTTCTTCTTCAAGCCAAGCCAAGCCCTCGCTAGAAAGGGCGCAACTACAATTGGGAGCAGGAGCCAGAAGTTCTCTGGTCCTCCAAGCATTGGGGTATCAAGCTAATTGAGAACCTTATATTGGAAATGAGGTCGGCTACTCTATCCCCTCTTCTGGACAAGTCTGATCATGTCCGAACTGACGCCTGAACCGGAATGAAAAGTAGAACACACAGTGTGTCAGGCCAATCAGTTGAATATCGGGTTGCCGAGCCATGCTATAGCTCACCTCGGGTAGATCAAACCAGGAACAACGCCAAGCAATGACAACAGCAGACCTGTTGTACATCCAATGGCACCACCACCCCTTCTTCGGGAAATCAACTAGCTGTTGGCAAAAGAAATAGCCTCGTGCTAACTATGCAGGGCAAGAGTCCACTACTTTCAACCTATCCATGACCCATATCTAGGGAGGAATGAAAGAAAAGAGAGATTAAAGAATAGAGAGGTATATGTGGAGAGAAAAGGTAAGAAAGGTTTTGAGAGAAAAACAGAGCCTGAGTGTTGAGAGATGTGAGAAACACATATGAGATAGGATGGGAAACATTACCTGCAAAAGTAATGGACTTCCCACGAATTTGGTCATCTCCCGCCGATGGAAGGCGTCCAAGCCCATCAAAGTCTCGGTCAATGCTAAGCTAACACAGTTTTTGCCCTATTTCAAGCTTTGGGCTACTTCGATCAAGCGAATGCTAGACCCTTCGAAACGCGGGGCAAGAAGAAAATGAGCCAACATACACAAACAAAGGGCATGCTGCCGAAAACTCTGCCAAAGACGGTCACCGCGGTCACCAGTGTCAGAAAATTGATGAATCAAACTGGGGATGTCTTGCTCTCCATTGTGAACCAAGGATCTGGCATCATGTGAAGTGAGCCCACACATCCTTCCTAAAGTTTGGATATGAGCAAAATAGGACTCGGGCAAGATTTCCTCGTTACGCCGAGATTCCATCAAAACTTGGAATTCTTCAATTGTCGGACATATCTCTTGCCCCCTAAAATTGAAAACATGTGTAATCGGGTTCCAACACTTGGCTGCAACACGAAGGAACGGAAAACACAGTGGAGAACGACTTAGCGGGAACAATGCATTTATCCTGAAACCTTAAAAATTCACTTTTTTCGAGCCATCTAAAGTTGCAATCCAATTTGAGAGTTTTTCGGTAAAGAATGGCTCCATTTGTGGTAAAAACAGAGCTGGAATGAATAAACTACGAAGTCCCAGCTTTTGTAGAAGATAAAGCACTGGGTGGAAGACAGGTGGCAACAATCTGGAGGTCCTTCACATTGATAGCCGATCGGTCAGTGGTGATGGCCGACAGGCCACATTTGTAGCCGACCGGCCACCACTGGTGGCTGACAGTTACCGTTGGGGGCCTACAGTCTCCATTTGTGGCCGACAGCCTCTTGGTCTATCTTGTGGTCCACCTGTATGTTGAGAGTGTTGATAACCTGTGCTTTGTTCTGTTTTTTGCGCTTTCCAAGGTCTTGTTTTCAATCCCTTTGGGCTTGAGCATGTTTATTTGAGTTGTATTCATCTTGTTTTGCTTATCGAGTTGTGTTTGTGTTGTTTATCAAGTTGTTGTGTTGCTTATCAAGTTGTATTTTTGCTTGTCGAGTTGTTAGTTGTTTATCAAGTTGTCTTACTTTGTTTGTTAAGTGTTGGTCGGTTCATTACCTTATTAAGAAATTGCTAATACAATGTGAAATTTTCAATCAAGATCAATCTCATTTTTATGCTATGTGATGTTATGCGGTGCTCAGAATGCAAAATACAACACTTTTTCATCAAAAATTTGTTTTTCATTCTGATCATGGTCACTTTTTGTAAAAGAGTACAAGTTTTCAAGCAAAATAAAACCTGCCTAAAGCTATACAAAGTGGTAAAACTACTAACAACAAGAAACTAAGCAAAAAATACATATAGACCAGCGCCAGCTATCTCGGTCTCGAGAGGCCCTCTTTGTCATCTTTCTGGGCATGGACTCAAATCTATCTCCATCAGTGCCAGAGTCTGACCCAGAGTCATCACTGCTCTCTGCCTCAGAGCCTGACTCAGCATGATCTCCACTAGCAGAACCCAAGCCAGTGTCATCGTCTCCACTCTCGGATGACTTAGTGTGCTGACTCGTGGCCTCCTCGGCCTCGCTGGTCTCAACGTCGTTATGGCTTAGAGTGGGCTCTAAAGGGCTCCTCCGATCTCGACCACGACATCCCCTTCAGCTGTGTGTCGGAACCTGCCTCTCTCTCCTCCCTGTTGCTGGAGGAGATACTACTGTGTGTGCGTGTGTGTATGTTTTCCAACCCCACGTCTTTCTCTATTTTACTTAATCGCTTTTGATGGTAAGATTAGGGACATGTTTCATTTAGCATATCGCACGCTTGCATGCATTCATTTGTATTGCATGCTCTGGGGCTTGACGCATCATTCAAATTGCATTGCAATTTCAATATCTTCTTTGAATACGTGTTTAATCGTATGTTGTTTAAATCGATTTATATGCCATATTAGTAGCTGAGCCTATTAATTGCATTCTTTGCATGTGTTGCATTAGACACTTAACATAGTTAGGATCATGCATTTTTCTAAGCAGTTTTTGCTTTGGCTTGGAGTACTCAGTGAGTTTTATGCTTTGGCATACTTGCATGAGTGTGATTGCCATCTTGCTATGATTAGCATGCTTGCCATGAGGCTATGTGCTTAAATGCTAAACTGCTTGAATGCCTGTGGATGAAAGCTTGTTGTTTGAATTAGAATGATTAAACAAATGAGCATTTTAAGCCCATTTTGTTGAGTAGCAAATCATGTTTTAAGCCCACTATGTTTGGTGGAAAAACTACAATCTTTAAGCCCCCTTAAGGTGGCAAAATTGAAACCCCTTTTCGCAAACAAACATGCATGAGTTGAATTGTTCTAATTCTTGCAAATTTAGTCTATACTTGATTGTGCGCGTCACATAGTAATGTTAGTCTAATAACCGGAACAAGAGCACATAATGTTTATAAAATCGCATATCATGGTTAATAGAGGCCGATCTTTGATCGGGTGAGTGGGGGTGCTCAATTCATGACCTTCCCCCTTCGTACCCAAGTTCCCGAGCCGAGGCAACTTTAGTAATGACGGACACGTGGCCTTCAGCATGAGTTAGGGTTTCCTAAATTTTTTCAGAAATAAAATATTTAAGTGGCGACTCTGTAATCAGGCAAAGCAGTCCAATTTTGGTATTATTTGATTTAAAATCGATTTTCTAAAAAGATTTGCCGGATTTGGACTCTTTGGTGGTTATCAGTTTCATATTGCACTTGGAAGACTAAATTTAAAACCGTGGGAGTCCAAACTGTGAGGCCTTTCTTTCAAACCTCTTTTCGAAAGGCGGGGACGAGAAAAAGGCGAGTCCACAATTGGCTGACGTGGCAATAACGTGAAAGTGATGTGTCAATGATGTGGTGCTGACGTGGTGCTAGCGTGGCTGACACATGGTGCTGACGTGGCATTGGTCACTTGCCTTTTTCCTTCCGCCGAACGTCTGCCGCGTGTCTGCGACTGACGTCATGCACTAGCACAATAAACGGCACGTGAAGCACGTGTGTGAGAGTGAGCCTCATACGCTTTCTTTAGATAGTGCGTGAGGGCGTGTGGAGCCTCCTCTTGGGCTCTACTTTGCAGTTCTAGACTCCTCTCATTGAGAGCTTCCTCTTGGTATGCTCAAAAGTGAATTTCGAGCAACTTGATTTTTGGTAGTTTCGGAAATCGCACTCTGTTTTACCGAAAAATGACCAACTCGGCTCTGATACCACTTGTTAGGATTAAGACACCAAAAATCAATCACACACACACAGAAAGGAGACACAAGAGATTTACATGGTTTGGCAATTGCCTACGTCCACGGAGAGAGATATCCACTATAGAATTATCCCGGAGAGAGATTACAGAACTCACACCTTACAACTCTCTGTAGTACTCTCTCACTCAAAGATTACACTCTCTGTTCTTTGTGTGTGTGTGTTTTTTTTTTCTTTGCACCACTCACTTCTTCTCCATTTCCCTTGGTTGTTATGTATTTATACACCAAGATGAAGGAAGCTAAAGAGCTTGGCTGGCACAGCACATGGCCAACTGTTCACTCACCTTTCGTTGGCCGTCCAGCGTTGCGCTGGCACAGCACATGGCTAGCTTGACTTCACATGGGAGATCCACTTGGGCTGGAGCTAACAATCAATGCCAAAGACTTCAATTTCTTTAAGGGAAGAACTCACATAGCTTGGCCCCCTTTGTGGTTCAAACCAATTAAATTGCTTTGAAGATTCAAAACTATCATAAAGTGTTATATACAAACTGGAAAAGGAAATGTACGGAATTTGCAAATCATCGATTAGGAATGGTTATTTTAAATTTTGACTCACCTTCTCAAATTGAAAAGTGTCCAGTTTAGGCACACTATTCAATAAGTCTGAGAAATTCTTGCAGCCAAAGTTATTGCAAACATCCAATTCCAAGTGGGTCAAATTAGGAAACACAGGCCAATATTTGTCATTAGCAAAGCCGAAAGCCTTCATCAGAGATCATAAATGATAAAAATAGTCAAATATATAAAACAAAAATGATGCTAGATAAAGTTCATAAGTGATATAATATTAGCATATGATAATCTACATCTTCGCTTCTTATTAAAGTGATGAAAAGGAAGAGTAAACTTATTGCCATAGTGCTAGCCTTTAGATGTAGATGCTTAATATTAGAAATTGATTTCAAAAGCACAAATACTTGGTTCACATGTGTCATGGCTGCGAGAGCATGCTGGATAAGGGGCTTCAACACAAACACTTGTTTAAACTAATGAGGATAGGATATTCAGACAATAGCGAACCAAGCAATAATCTTTGACTTGAAGGCTTTCAAGAATTGGTTTATCAACCATGACCACAGTCTCAGAGTTTCCTAATTGTTTTGTAGATATATGTATAAAGTCTATTTTTACAGAACCTATCTCTGCAGAAATAGATAATTCTTCGAGCACATGGCAGAAAGAAAAGAGCTTCTGGGTCAAGTCATTGCTCAAAAAAATAAGTGAAACATGAAAGATCGTGAGATAAGGGAAATAAATGGAGTTAGGAACATCAAACTGGATATGTGATTTGAGCTTTAACACTACAAGGGTTTTGCATATAACGAGGTTTCTAGGCAGCTTAAGATTCATGGATCTGCAAACATTGATATCAATTTCATGTACACGACGTCTTCTAGCAACACTTATCCATGCATTCAAACGAGATTCATCAATTTTTGGATTAAATCTTCGACAGAATCATTGAATACTTGGCAAATCATGAAAGATGAGTACTCTGTCAATGAAATTCATGAAGATGACATCACCTTGGTGGGTAGCAAATCGAGAAAACACTGTCCATGCATCAAATTCTAGATTGGGGATGAAAGCCCATATGTGTTGCCATCTTGATTATAGAATGCAGGTCTCAACTACGTATTTTGTTGGAAGGAAAAAGAGAATGTGGACAAGAACCAAGTCTAGTAACCTGTTGATCCTATCTTTTCAATTCCCATTCAGTTTCTTCTTCGAACGAGGCCGATAGTTCGACCTTAAAGCCATGAAATGTGTAGTGCCTGGATAGACAAAGTCTGTAAAAAAATTGTTCTAATAAGCAGTGAATTACTATAGCTCGGGTTGAGACTCGACCCTTTTTCTTTTTCATATAAGATGGTTGCATTAAAAAGGTTATTTCGTCAAAATTGGACTTAGTCTAAAAATTTTCTAAGTGTGAAAGTTGAATTTTTCAAAACTCACAGTTTGGAAAATAATTTTTTCCCAGTAATTGTTCCTTATATATTAAATAGTCTAACTTGATTTTACAAGATTTTTCTACGAGGTATTTGCCACTTTACTTCAATGCCAAACTTAATAATTGCAGTCAAAAAATTAATTTGGTTATAAAACTGGGAGAACTACTTCTTGATTTAATTGAATTTTGATTTTTTTTGTATTTTTCATTGAATCCAAATGAAGGGTATGTCCTTATTTACATTGTAAACTTAAGTAAATGAAACATAAATGTAAGGGACTAAATGAAAACATTTACTTAAATACTAAAATTAGGGTTAATGTATAGGAATTCAAAACTAGCAGAAATTTTCCTTGAGTGGTCATGCCCACGATCACAATTGTCGCACTTGCAGCCAATATGTAGTCCCGGTACTTTGTCTGCAGAATCCTTGGAGCCCACTAGCTGCCCGCAACCCTCATGGTCACGCCCGCGATGGGATAGATCGCACCCACGATATTCTGTTTATAAAATTCCTGAGTGTGCGTTAGAACCCATTTTTTTGCATTTTTCTCCCCCTTTTCCCTCTTTTGTCCACCATTGTTGAGCATCTAAGCTCACAAAAATCTTAGATTTAGGGGTTTTAGGTGAAAATCCCGCTCTAATTCTTAAGGATAGAATGCATGGACCATCGAGGGCTACGTTTTGAGCTAGGTTGATCGCGTTTTCGTCAACATCAACCTTTAGATGTTCATCAAATCTCTCTCTGCTTTGAGGTAGGAATACCTTTAACTTTGTATATCCTTGTGTTGATATTATTATGTGGTACTTTCGTAGTTATGACGATATATGAGCTAGTGTTTTGATTAAAAATATATAAAATATATAAAAAAGGGATTTTCTCTCAAAGTTTTTTTTTCTGGAAATGTTTTGAATGTTTGACACATTGAAGGTTTGTATTTGATAATTTGAAGATTTTGAAAAAGAGATGAGAAAAAAAATCCCAATTTTCTTGAGATCCTAGGCTTGGAGATTTTGTTTAAAGATGGTTTTGAAACAAATTGATGTTTGTTAAAATTAAAATTGATATGGTATTGAAACACATGGAAATTATGGAGTTGTGTAACCTCTGGATTTATGATGGAATTATTGTTGATAATGGAATTTATTGAATCAAATCTTTATGAAGCCATGAATTTATGATTTTAATGAAAATGAAATTTTTGAAAACTAAGTAATGCTTTAAAGTGAGATTGGAATTGATCTGAGTTGAAAAACATGGTGATATTGTAGTGATATAAATTTTGGATCGATGTTATGATTATAGGTGATTATGGGAATTGTTGAGATTATCTTTGATTATGTATTACAGTAATTATTCTTGTAGAAATGAATTGAACCTTAAGTAAATTAAAACATTTGCAAACTCAAGTATCGCATTTGCATCACATGGTTTTGACTTGAGACGGCATATGATTTTGAAAAGTGATGAATCCAGGGAAGGGAGTAAATACTGTAGTAATCTAGTTAGTAGAGTCAATTTTGGAAAACGAGTTATAGTCGTATTGGTACCCGTACGGAGAGTCAAGGTGCCCAATTGCTCTATCTTATGCTTCATGCTGGACGAATGTGGGAAAGGTTTTTGGGTGACCACTGGCCTTATCGTATCGACCCGACAAATGTGAAAAAACAAATGAGTTTTTGTGTCCATTGGCCCTGTCATATCGAGTCGGCAATTGTGGGAAAAAAATGATTTTGGGTGTCCACTAGCACTGTTGTATTGAGCCGACAAATGTGGAGAAACGTGTGTTTTAGATGTCCATTGCTCTTCTGTATCAAACCGGTAAATGTGGGACTATTTTGATATATAAAATCTATATATGTATTTGTCTCTTACCATGAGATTCTAGTGCGTATTTATTGCCACGTTGTTAATGTTGGACTTTGGTTTAATAAAAGTGCATTGAGCATCATCCTTTTAATAGAGAAAATAATGGATTTTAGCATGCTATTTGTATCTTGCATGATCATAATTATATCAAGCATTTATATACATTGTTAAAAGTATTTCTATTGGGTATCATTGCTCATTCCTATCATAAACAAAATTTAGCAGGTTGTGACCACTTTATTAAAGAGCTAGTGAAGTGTTTTTTTAGGGAGCACTGAAACTCTTTTGATGTTATGTGATACTGTTTCGAGTTAGTGTTCAATCTTCTATGCGATGAAGGCCCCCAGCCTTGACAGGTGTAAACCCTCAGGGCATTTTGTTGTATTCCTCTTAATTCATGAATCCTCTTGTATTATTTATTTTCGAACACAAATGATGTAATATTGGAAGGCGACGATGAAGAGAGCAAACCTAATGGGAAAGAGAAATGTTTTAATACATGAGAATGGTGTCTTTTATTTTATTTCTTTAAATTCCACTTTGTATCATGAAATTGGACAATAATGAAGGATTGATAATTATAAAATGAATCAAAAAAATATCAGAGCATTACACGGATGCACGAAGGACACGACACTTTTCAATTTTTTATAATTACACTGGTACCTATATATTTGTAAAGGGCATGTTTAGTAACCATTTCATTTTCAGTTTTCAGCTTATATTTACAAAAATTTAAAAAACCGTCATAAAAACTTGTTTGATAATTTTTTTAGTCTATAAATGGTTGTCTCAATTTATAAATTTGAGGAAAAAACGTAAACTCAAAAAATGAGTTTACGTTGGCTTTTAAATAGGAATTTAAATTTTGACTAATAATTTTTTTTTTCAAATAATTTTTTTCATTTTTTTTTCAATTAATTTTTCTTCCAATTAATTTTTTTTTCCAATTATAATGTATATGATCCCATTGTCATAAATAATAAAAAATAAATATAAATATTTTAGGTTTAAACAAACTTATTTTTTAGTTTATGTTTTTCTAAAAATAAACAAAAACTAGTTTTTAAAATTTTTGTAAATATAAACCAAAAACGTAAACGTTACCAAACGCTACCAAAGTGTTTTTCCTTTTATTTATTTAACATTGAGAAATTATAGTTATGTCCACTCTAAATCATTTAAAATGGCTTAAAATTTATTTAATTTTAAATGTCTTTATTTTTCTATCAATTGCATAAGAACTCTGGATACATAAATGAGTAGCCCCCTCTCTCATTTTGTCTTTTAAGTATGTCTGTGTGTGTAACAGAGAGATGCAATAGAAGCTCACATGAAGCAATTGTAAAATCAATTGAGGACGAGAGGGAGGACCACAAAATATCGATAGGCTCTATTTGGTTGTTGAGAAAACTCAAAAAATAAAATAAAATCTTGAGTTTTTAAGATTCTCGTTAACTAGTATGAGAAGAGAACAAAAAAAAAAAAAAAAGGGCAAAGAAAGGCAAAAAAATTGACCCTATTGAGTTGAATATCTCATTGTTGTTTTAATGAATACAAATCTCATATGTCTAGTTTTTCTTTTGATTTCAATAGGTTTCTCAGCAACTAAATAGAGGGATACTGTACCACTGGGGGTGGTGGTGGTGTGTAAAGGTGCTGGCCTTCCACATCGGTGAGCAAGGCTTGATTCCGGGGCATAACTAACAACCAATTTCTTTGGTGAAGCTACTAGTGTTGTACTCCATTCATGATTCTTCCCCCAATGTTGAGAGTTGGTGCATTCCCCACTTACTCGATGGTAAATCCCTTCTTTTGAGTTTGGTTAAATCTGACCATCAATTGATTATCTGGGGCACGGACCCACAGATGCTATGATCGTCTTTTTTATGATTCATAGAAAAAAAAAAAAAGGTTACTGTTGGCATAAATTTTCTTTCAAGTAAGAAAAAATAACATAGTTTTCGTTAAAGCTCTGGTTGATTAAAAAAATAAATAAATTATGGAAAATGAAAATGGTAAAAAGTAAAGTAAAAGAAATGGAAAATAAAATATCTTTTCTCATATGAATTTGATTCGGACGAAAATTTTGTAAGAAAAATAGGAATTGTAATTCTAAGTAACTACTTTTATAACAAATTTAAATTTTCTTATATTTTTTGCAAAAAAAAAAAAAAAATGGAAGCTTAGTTACCATGCTATTATGAGTTATACAAGAAAACTAATTTTTTTGTAACTTCCACCACTTTCATGCTAAACAAATTTAGAATTTTTTCCCCCCCCATCTCTTTCACTTTGTACCATTTTTATTCTAACCAAACAGAGCCAAGGGATTTTTGAAATTTTCTTTCCTTTTCTTTTTCAACAATATTCAAATGAAGTAGGAAAGTAAAAGAGAAAATTTAGGGGGAAGAAGAAGTACCTGCTATGTAGTACTTCGTCGAGAGCTTTGAATTTGAAATGGACATTGTGCATACCAAATCCCGCGCTAGATGAAAGTGAATCGGAGTTTCGCGGATAAAATGGACTATCCAAGAACTAGGGACCTGCAGCACAGAGCACAATCAGAGCTGCCCAACCGCAGTTGGCCGAAAAACCCCTTCTGCGTGGGAATGAATGATCGGAGAAGATGAAAAACTTTCACTAGGTGTAGAGAGAGAGGGAAAGAAAGATTATTTGAGTTAGAATGATCTGAGGAGGAGTAAGTTAAGTTACCTTCAATGTGAAGAGAGTGTGAATTATATAGAATACTTTACTTGTTGCCAAAGATGGTTACATGGCGTTTTGGTGCCTCAAGGTTTCCCTTAGCATTGCTTAAGGTGGAGGACCACAAGGTAATTGACCATGGATACATGTGCTTATTGTAACCATGCATATAACAGATCACATTCCCTTTGCTAACTGTTTTCGTGATTCTAGGAGGGGAGGACCAGCTAAGGTGGCAGTTTGCACATATATGCAACCATAGCCTCCACGTTTCTTTGAAAGGTTCCCTCAGCTCGGTATTGATATGCCATAGCTAAGCCTTTCGTAAGATTGGTTGTTGAGATAAGTTGGACCATTCAGATATCTTTGTGTGGGCTCGGCCCACTTTTGTTCTGATGATGGGTTTGGCCCATTGGTTTGGTCTTGTGAACTAGGTCTAGTGGCTCGACCCAGCCCAGCCTAACATCGCAGCTGGCCTGGACTTTCCACTGAGTGTTGGGCTCAAGTGCTCGACGACATGGGTAGATCATTCTCTATGGAGATGGGCTTAATAGATTAGCCCACATACTTATCAGGCCCATTTGGGTTTGGACTTAGTGGATTGGACTGGCCAAAGGTTTGGATCCAACCCATTTATATTGGTCTTAATGACGACTTTCTGCAAGTCGGTGGGAACTGGGAGTTCCTTACTAGGATAGAGATCCAGTCCGAACGAATGGCCCAAAAAAATGGCTATCTAGGTCTGAATCTTCTGTCTTTATATTTTGGTTATTCTATTTTCAACTTATGTTTTGTTTGAATGCCATACTAATGTACTTCCCTGTTTTTGCAGGATCCTCTCGCTACCTCAGGAGAGCGAATCATGGAATACTAAAGCAATTAGGGTTGCTTTGCGGTACAAGAATAAATCTGTCCATGAACTGCTGGATTACCAAGCTATCTACCGAACCACCATTCCCAAGAAAGCGAAAGTTGTTGCATCTTTGCTCGACTATGATACTGAAAATGACACACCTCCTGCCCCATTGATTACCAATCGCCACCATGCCTGTAGTCACTCTACAGAAAGGACCCCTTCTCCTGCCCCTAGTTTCATAGGAAGCAAATCAATGTTGAAGAGAAAGGTGCTTGTAGACTTGGAAGCGTCAGCTTTTGGCTCCTCTTCAGCTTTGGAGACTACTGGAGTCAAGGCCGAGTCGAAGAGTCTGATGGAAGTTATATTAGAGATGTAGGCTTCTAGCCCTTCTACTGTTGTTTCTGAATCTGACGCCCTAGCTGCTGAAAGGACTAGGAAAAGAAAAAGAGAAACCAGTAAGGATAAAGTTGGTGAGGCTTCTGGAGAGCCTGCTTTTGATGAATCCTTTGAATATTGGGCACTGCACATATTGCACTAGGGCAAGCCCATTTCAACTTCTGATTTTGTTGTTGCATTTTGAGAACTTGCTATTGATTTGACCAATCCTTCGTTGTTGCCAGTAGACATGGCAGACCACAATGGGCCCTATGACATTCCCATTTTGAAGAGAACCAGGCAAATGATGACTACTGTAACTGCCTTAGAGCATCTCCAATGCTATTTGCTGTAATAGCATTGCCATTGCTATAATTTGGTAATGAATAGTAGTAAATAGCCAAATTATAACAATGGTACTCCAACGGTCACATGCTATTTTGGCAAATCACAACCAACTTTCCCTCCAAATTTGTAGCTGTTATTTTTATATAGTTTTCTTTTTTTTCTTTTTTTTTTTTTTGGGGGGGGGGGACATTTTTGATGTAACCGGGCTCTGTCCCCACCATTTGTAATGATTTTCTTTTCAATGAGAAACTCAAATTTGGCTAAGTGTTTGCACGGTAGTAATCAATTCCATCTTCAGCAAAATATCTCGGTATAACTCATCGTTTGAACAACACAATAATAATAATAATAATAATAATAATAATAATAATAATAATAATAATAATAATAATAATAATAATAATAATTTATTAACTATATTAAAAAATAAATAACCACCAAATACCTACCAACAACCATCCATTATTCACCCAGCATTCATTTACCAACAGCCATCTATCGAACAATCATCTATCATTCACCTAGCATTCATTTACCAACAACCACCCACCATTCACCCACCCACAATTTTCTCTGTAAATTATAACACAAGGTTTTCTACAATTTTCATATTCATCTACCCACAATTTTCCTAACTTCTAAACTCTTTGTACCCACCTAGAAGATTTCCTATAATTTTAATATTAACCTACCCACCTACCCACGCAGAATGAACAATTTCATAAAAGTCGTCTTCAATGGACATTTTGATGAATCTTCATCATCTGATGATGATATGATGATGATGCAGCTATTAACAGCGCAACAACAAAAAATACAAGCATCAACCCTAAGCCAACCAACCAAACATGTTGGTTCCATAAGTAGTCGTTGATACATTAATTGTGACGCCCCTATTTCTACTCTAAGGGTTATGGTAATGTCACTAGAGAGTCCTTTGGTCAATAGCCAAGTAAGATCCCAGGAAAGTCGGAGGAGTCAATATAGCCACCTTTCAAAGTTTAACCACCTTAGATAGCAAGCTATCCTCTTGACAGATCTTACGGGGTATTAACACAAGGTCACATAAGTAATGCGGAGATGGAATAGGATTACAAAAGCAAATAATAATTACAGTGTTTCAAATCTTAAATTAAAAAATGAGTTCCATTACTATTACAATCCAAAAATAAAAGTACGAATAGACTCATAAGCTAAATGGCTTCTAACTTTCTCTAAAACAGACACAAGTCTTCAAATGTCTTTGGCTCTTCGTCGGCCTCGTATGTTTCTTCGATACCTGGAATGAAACGCCATGAGCTTTGAATGCCCAGTAAAAGCACACACACTTGTCCCCTTTTCCCAATCTAATATACAATAGCAATTACAACAATAAGGGAAAGAAACATGATATTCAAGTAAATAACAAGGGTTACAAGGTTAGTTATTAGTAGTCACCCGACCAAAAAACATACCACCACAATAATAATAATAATAATAATAATAATAATAATAATAATAATAATAATTTATTAACTACATTAAAAAATAAACAATCACCAACTACCTACCAACAACCATCCATTATTCACCCAGCATTCATTTGCCAACAACCATCTATCCAATAATCATCTATCATTCACCCAGCATTCATTCACAAACAACCACCTATCCAACAACCATCCATTATTCATTGAAAAATTCACTTACCAACCACCCACCATTCACTCACCTACAATTTTCTCTATAAATTATAACACAAGGTTTTCTATAATTTTCATATTCGTCTACCCACAATTTTCATAACTTCTAAACTCTTTGTATCCACCCAGAAGATTTTCTATAATTTTAATATTAGCCTACCCACCCACCCACGCAGAATGAACAATTTCATAAAAGCCATTTTCAACGAAGATTTTGATGAATCTTCATCATCTGATGATGATATGATGATGATGCAGTTATTAACAGCGCAACAACAAAGAATACAAGCATCAACCCTAAACCAACCAACCAAACATGTTGGTTCCATAAGTAGTCGTCGATAAGTTAATTGTGATGCCCCTATTTCTACTCTAAGGGTTATGGTAACGTCACCAGAGAGTCCTTTGGTCAATAGCCAAGTAAGATCCCAGGAAATTCGGAGGAGTCAATATAGCCACCTTTCAAAGTTTAACCACCTTAGATAGCAAGCTATCCTCTTGACAGATCTTACGGGGTATTAACACAAGGTCACATAAGTAATGCGGAGATGGAATAGGATTACAAAAGCAAATAATAATTACAGTGTTTCAAATCTTAAATTAAAAAATGAGTTCCATTACTATTACAATCCAAAAATAAAAGTACGAATAGACTCATAAGCTAAATGGCTTCTAACTTTCTCTAAAACAGACACAAGTCTTCAAATGTCTTTGGCTCTTCGTCGGCCTCGTATGTTTCTTCGATACCTGGAATGAAACGCCATGAGCTTTGAATGCCCAGTAAAAGCACACACACTTGTCCCCTTTTCCCAATCTAATATACAATAGCAATTACAACAATAAGGGAAAGAAACATGATATTCAAGTAAATAACAAGGGTTACAAGGTTAGTTATTAGTAGTCTAGAAATCCCCCAAAGAGATTTCATCCTCCCAAACGCAAGAATCGGACGTAGATTATTCTGTATGCCTCTACTTATGCTGCTTTGTTGTAGACCTTACCTCGGATGCCTACCAACGGTTATATACCATGTAGCGCCAACCACAGAGCCTTAAAAGAGATGGTAAAATAAGAGCCTTGCCCATTCCCTCTTCACCACAAAACCACCTAGGGTCCGAATACAACCGCTCCGTTCAAGGGTTCTGAAAGTACCACTTGCACAAGATTTTACTTCTAAATAGGGAACACATCCCGTCAACCAATCAATAACTCTGTAACTTGTCCAGAAGTTTGCAAACCCAATACCACCCATTCAGTTTCCATGTTAGATAATTTAAGTCAGAGTTAGAACATGCTCTTGAAACAACATCTATTGCATAAGTATGAACAACTTCATAGCACAAATGGAAGGAAATAAAGTTACAGCACATGAGATTAACATAGAGAAATATGCACAAGTAGTTCCAGGCATAGTCATGAAGTTAAGGGAATAATATCACACAAGAATGTAAATTTCCAGAATTGCATTGCCATAAAGATTGTAAACAAAAAGGCATTTTCAGATTTCCCCCCCCTAAACTTGGCTTTCCTATGGTTTGTAGAGAAGTTTGTCTAGTTTTCAGAACATCTTTTAGAAGTTTCATAGCTTTCCTAGATTTTTAGTTATTCAAGAAACATTCCAGTGCTGTCCAGATTCGTTGATTGTTACAAAAATCAGATTTTCTTTCAAACCGCCCACTCTTTTTCAATGAAACCAATTTTAATTGAAAGATAATCCTTTAAGGAAGTTTTTCACATAAAAATGAGGTCAAGGAAATGTTTTCACATTTTTTTTTTGATAATTTTCACAAGTTGGTTGAAAAATTGGCTTTTTGAGCACAAAGCTTGAAATAAGGGAGAAGGTAAGAAAGGAGGTTAACCAAGGATAATTTTTCACTTGTGTTATAATAAAAACATGCTAGATAGTATATATTAAACTCAAAAGTTTAGATTGAAGGTGTTCATCTAGAACTTATGAGAGATATGTGTAGAAAAATATAGTTTTGCACCAATTTAGAGAAAACACAAGTAAAGGAGGAATAAGGGTCAATTCTTTTCAATTTAATATATGAACACCATTACAACATATCTGAAAATATTATTTTAAACCTCTAATAAGATGTATTTGAAAAAGGAAAATAAAAGAGAGAGTTGTGTTGTGGCTTACTTGAAGCTAGTTTGAATTGCTAACAAAACGTTCTCTTTCTCTCATTTCCTCCACCAATCTCACTCTCTTCCCCTTTCTTCTTCTCTCAGCCATGTGGTATGTTTGAGTGTATTTCCTAGTGTGCAAAATACTAAGGGAGAGGTTTTATTTGTAATAAAATCGGTGTAAAAGGTCCAAATTACCCATTGGTTGGAAATGGATTGAATATTTTAGATTTGGTGTGAAT